CAATCCGCTTCTTTTGATTTTGTTAGACATCCATAAAACATCTAAAAAGGATTTTAAGATTGTTGTCGTAAACAAAAAAGTGGTATGCGCCTCATAGCAAGTGTAGCCATTTTCTATGAAAGTGTAGTGAAACATTTCTTGCTGAGTCCGATTTCCTCGCCATTGCTTGAAAAGAGCGTTGAGTTTGGATCTAAAATGATAGCAAATTTCGCAGTGTTTGCCTTGGGTAAATATCTACTTACCTGTACTCTTCATCCCATTTTTTAATCTGTACATTGTCCAGCCCGCTGCCAGCAATGAGAAAACGAAGAATATCAAAAGCAACTTTTTCATCCACATCTCCTAATCTCATTCGCATGTCTGGAACGGTGAGGTCGCACATTTTGACTATAAAATTGAATTTTCATTGTAGAAGCTATTGTAGCAAATTCGCAGCGGTTGTTGTTACTTTCCTTCATCATTCTACCGTTTTTTTATAAGTTCTTTTTAAAAAGTGCTCACAGTACTCGTATTCAAAGGTCTTTTTGTAGAGCTACTGAGTTTACAGCGAATTTACCTTCTAATATTGTATCCACATGAAATGCGTCAGCATATCTTGGACAAAACACCAATGTGGGAAATTTGAGCTGTTTCACCTAGAATATGCAATAAAATAATGTGGCTAATTGGGATCCAGAAAAACATACGGGATACAGCTTGATCCTTGTGCTAAAACCATGCTCATTGAACTCTCTCATGATCATATTAGCGAAAACTACTGAACATATGCAACAGGCGGCGATCACTCCAAACCAAAACATCCTTTTCTCGAAGGTGTTGGACTAAAAAACTAAAATTATTGAAAGTGCGTATAAATTAAATTAACACAGTATTATCACCAGGTCGGATTACCATCATAAGAGCGGTGAGACCATGAACTTCTTTAAGCCAAGGAAAATGACAATTACAGCGATGTTGTACTGCTTTTTGTGAAGTGGAAGTATTTTTGGTTCTTAATGAGGTTTCTGTGCAAACGTCGCCATCTCTGAAAACTACTTCATGTTCAAGCAAAGTCTTTAAAACGGACAAATTTAGCCATTTACGGATTGGCAGAGTTTCCTCCATATATCGAATCCATGTTTTCGTGTGATAATATCCTTCACTTCAGAGTCGAAAACCTAAATTAACCGGTTACAATTTTGTGGCAAGACAACTATACGTTGAATGTCCTCCTATTTGGACCAAACGTTCACTCTGCTTGGCTCTGCGAGAACACTTATAGTTTTGGGGTTTACCCTCGTTTTCGTAGCTCTGTACCGTTTTTCAACCTAACTCCTCACATCCATGCTATCGGCACTTTGATAAGCCTCAAGTTCAAAGGTCAACGAATCAACAAAAATCTGGTTCTTGTCAAAGTTACAGCAGAATAATCTTCAAAACGCGATAGTCTTAGCGAAGATGCCGTTAACCCTATTCAAATCAGCCAAATGGGATGCATAATCATTAATGTTATGAATATGTTGACAGACGTCTCATCACTTTTGTATACCGTTTATCTCCAATATCTCGGTACGACTACCCAAGTTCTGCAAGGTATTGCAAAATTTAGGCAGGTGATTTGTCGTCATTTATATGATTGTGCGTTCTGTTGGAAAAATTGCACAGTATGAGAGCTGACAATACAGGATTATAGAAAATGGTGTGCTGCCCAAGAGACAAGGAAAAGATAGAAACAAAAACAATTGAAAATTGTTTCAATTGTTTCCTGCTCGTATAATTCCCCGTTTTGGTGATAAAATTGGTTAGCCAGCAGATCATGCGATTTGCCTCGTTGGATTTTTGCGAAGTCATATCAAACCAGCAAGGCTATCGCATTGAAAAAGAACAACAACATTGCATCTTCGAAGTCCAGCTACATATACGCAGAAAAAAAACCATGAAAAATGTTAAAAGAGTGTGTATATGACAGCAAAGCCATAGATGTCATTTACTCGATATGCTATTCCATAAATAACCTTTTACTATGTGCTGCATGGATAAGAAATTACATCGTTTAATTAAATGCTGTGTTTTCTGCCAAAATTACACCCTGCATTGGTTTCTAGGACACGTTTCTCATGCACTTTTACAGCAGAAAAGTGACATCTTAATATATTAGCGATACACCACATGTAACTATTGCTCAATGGGAGGCTGAGCAGCAACAATACTTTCATACTATTGGAGTGCTTGAGCACGTTTGTTTCGCCAACTTTCCCTCCGCTTGGTGTTGTAGGTGTAGCCCTACGATTATACGATTATTAATTAGTTAAAACTCTAAAGCAATATAGGAAATACTAAGCAAAATCTAAAGCTTTTCATGTCAGCAGAGACTATGGTCTCGTGGCAAAAGTTAAGCTTTTTGTACAGATAACTAACTGTTTAATATAAGAACTTTTGGATCTATTTGAATTATCAGCGATTACCTAGTTAACCCATGACATAATGCGCCACTAAATTATATATTTTACTTTAAAGAGCATCAAGATTACAGCGGTGCAGCCCTTACAAAAGATGAGAAATGAGCGGAAAAATCTAAAACTACCTTACTATCTGCTATGGTAGGTGCGATATGCAGAGATTTATTTCCTTGGGAAATGCAATTTGATAGTGTGCCATGTTAAATGTTGACAAGTAGCAAAGAACTCTTGAGATTACGGTAAATTCAATTTATTTGGTTATGAATTTATTATGTCTGTTAAGAGAATAAAACTAGTCAATAAAGAAAGTTTGTCAATAAAAAATTATTGTTACCTTCATTTCGCTTACTTCCCCTTCATTTAACTTCATCCTCATGGTGTTTGAGAGCCAAAAACCAGGGCCGCGTCAAAAAAGAAAAAAAAAACGGGGATATACGGGGATATGTGTTGTCGTTTCTTCTTCAGAGACGCTATCAAAATTTTTTAAAGTAATACATAACGATTTCTTTCGAGATACTCAATTAGAGTCTATATACATAGATCCTTGGATGAAATTTGAGAAAATCATGGGCTAAGTTGCCTAAGAGTATGATTTAACGGGAGAGACTCCACAAATTCTAAATTCTAATCCAAAGTGGAATGCTCCGAAAATCAAAGGCATAAAAACAAAAAGGAAATTGTTTTTTAGAATCCATATTTTTGAATTCAGCTTATAACAGTGATTTTCATACTGCATTCGGTAAACTCCCTTGAATTTCTTTCTTCAATGGAAATTTTTAAACCTGTTTTTTCAAGAGTGAAATTTTGTATGATAAACGTGCATAAAGTAAGTTTAAAAGCTGTGTGCAAACAAAAAAAAATTAATTTGTGCTCTACGCCTGCAACGTCTACTGTTTTTTGAAAAAATGCAAAATTCACCCAAAGCCATTAAAGAGCATTCATTGCGAGGAAGTTATCGACCAAAACTCAGAAAAAGGCGATCAAGCAGCATATAAGAATGTAAAATCATGGTATATAATATACTACTAGGCTTTTGTCGATGATCTTTCAAAGTTGCGAGTGGTGCAGTATGAGCCAAACTTTAACACATTTTGAAAGTTTGATGCTCTATTTCTTAAAAGCCAATTAACTAGACAACTGCGTTTCAATTTGCCAATACATCCATACTACTTTTTATGCCTAATTCTGCAGTTATGTCATGAGCTTCTTGCAAAATTGATCATTTCAGATAGTAAAAATAAGGAGAGAAAAATTGAAATTTCACCAAGGTTTATATCGTTTAAATTGTATTTAAATACCATTCCAACGGTGCACGTTCATTT